GACCCTTTTTACTGGAAACGAAGCATTTTATTTTAGTTCTCAGGGGTGATAACGCATCTGCATTTTGATTCTTAATCGAGTATAAATGTAGATGTCTATGGACAACACCATCCATTTACCATCAGGTTGACTGTGTGCTCGTTTGTCACCCTTTTTCTTTAAAAAAGAAAGAGAACCATCTTACAAGGTGCGAAAGTTGAAAAAGTGTCCCAATATATACTGAAAATAGAGGTTCCAAAACCTACCACAATAGCGCTGGCGTCTGAAAAACTACGATATGAATATAGCTGTTGTAGACGGAGTGAAGTCAGCTGAATTAAAATATTTAAAAAATTTCATGACTACAGTAGTTAGTAAAATGCCAGTATACAAAACCTCAACTATTTACGTAGTACAAAACCAAGCGGATTGGTCGGTCCTTGTTTATTTCTCCATCTTATTCTAATAAATTTTGGCGCTTTTTTTTAATTTATCCTATGCTACTGCAGCGCCACCCTTATTGGACACGTTTTTAGGGACACTTTTCATATACAGAGATGGTCCTCCTTCTACTCTACACTCCATAGAATCAATACACAACAGTGACAAATAGCCCGGGCCAATCAAAAATTTGAATTTCGAACAATCGGTCATAACGGTTCTAGAATTCAACACAAAATATCATAGTTTAACGTTACACACTAGTTCTTTGTAATTTTTTATCAATGTAGAAATTTCGTTACGTCCATCAGTTCTTCAATTATATCAATATATTATATCCTCCATGGTGGCATTACACCGGAGGCGTGGAGCAGAAGTGCGGTGGTCTTGTTCTTCAAGAAAGGTGACAACGCTCTCTTGAAGAACTACAGACCGATTTCCCTTCTGAGCCGCGTCTACGTGCTGTTTTCGAGAGTCATTACGAATCGTCTCGCGCGCAGACTTGACGACTTCCAGCCTCCCGAACAAGTCGGTTTCCGAAAGGGCTTTAGCACCATAGACCACATACATACACTTCGGCAAATTGTACAGAAGTCAGAAGAGTACAATTTGCCACTATGTCTGGCGTATGTGGATTATGAGAAAGCCTTTGATTCCGTCGAAATTTGGGCGGTGCTGCAGTCCCTTCAGCGGTGCCAAGTTGACTGTCGGTATATCGAAGTGTTGAAGTGCTTGTACATGATGGCAAAAAAAGGTTACCATTGGCACCTCCCCAGATGGACTCTTTAAAATAACAATATTTAATTGTACGCATAGTCATGAAAATGGCCTAAAAGTTGAAGTACTCTTTAACGTGGTAGAGGCAAAACATATTAGGTCTTAGATCCTACCGGAATTCAGAATTCGGTAGAAAACCGATAGCATGAATTTGGCTCCCTTTTAGAGAGACGACAGCGAAGTGTACGAGATTGGAGTTGTGTTAAATCTTCAGCTCCAGGTTCCTTTAGATTCGGACCAGGGTTGCTTGAGAGTAGAGAGTAAGTTTTATACGTGGTAGAGCCAATCAGTAGCTATATTATGGTTGTAGCACGAACGGGTCAGTTCGACCGCGATAGCACCACGATCTCACAGAATACCAGCGTAAAATAGCAGCTTAATGCTGCTGTGTTTCGTATGATGAGTGTAGAGTACCGGAGACCCTTTTTACTGGAAACGAAGCATTTTATTTTAGTTCTCAGGGGTGATAACGCATCTGCATTTTGATTCTTAATCGAGTATAAATGTAGATGTCTATGGACAACACCATCCATTTACCATCAGGTTGACTGTGTGCTCGTTTGTCACCCTTTTTCTTTAAAAAAGAAAGAGAACCATCTTACAAGGTGCGAAAGTTGAAAAAGTGTCCCAATATATACTGAAAATAGAGGTTCCAAAACCTACCACAATAGCGCTGGCGTCTGAAAAACTACGATATGAATATAGCTGTTGTAGACGGAGTGAAGTCAGCTGAATTAAAATATTTAAAAAATTTCATGACTACAGTAGTTAGTAAAATGCCAGTATACAAAACCTCAACTATTTACGTAGTACAAAACCAAGCGGATTGGTCGGTCCTTGTTTATTTCTCCATCTTATTCTAATAAATTTTGGCGCTTTTTTTTAATTTATCCTATGCTACTGCAGCGCCACCCTTATTGGACACGTTTTTAGGGACACTTTTCATATACAGAGATGGTCCTCCTTCTACTCTACACTCCATAGAATCAATACACAACAGTGACAAATAGCCCGGGCCAATCAAAAATTTGAATTTCGAACAATCGGTCATAACGGTTCTAGAATTCAACACAAAATATCATAGTTTAACGTTACACACTAGTTCTTTGTAATTTTTTATCAATGTAGAAATTTCGTTACGTCCATCAGTTCTTCAATTATATCAATATATTATATCCTCCATGGTGGCATTACACCGGAGGCGTGGAGCAGAAGTGCGGTGGTCTTGTTCTTCAAGAAAGGTGACAACGCTCTCTTGAAGAACTACAGACCGATTTCCCTTCTGAGCCGCGTCTACGTGCTGTTTTCGAGAGTCATTACGAATCGTCTCGCGCGCAGACTTGACGACTTCCAGCCTCCCGAACAAGTCGGTTTCCGAAAGGGCTTTAGCACCATAGACCACATACATACACTTCGGCAAATTGTACAGAAGTCAGAAGAGTACAATTTGCCACTATGTCTGGCGTATGTGGATTATGAGAAAGCCTTTGATTCCGTCGAAATTTGGGCGGTGCTGCAGTCCCTTCAGCGGTGCCAAGTTGACTGTCGGTATATCGAAGTGTTGAAGTGCTTGTACAGTAGGGCTACGATGGCTATCCGAGTACAGAACCAGAGTACGAAACCTATCCAATTGCAGAGAGGTGTAAGACAGGGTGACGTCATATCCCCGAAACTCTTCACCGCTGCATTGGAAGACGTTTTCAAGCTTCTGGACTGGAAAGGATACGGTATCAACATCAATGGCGAGTACATCACTCACCTTCGATTTGCCGACGATATAGTCCTTATGGCAGAATCGCTGGAGGACCTAAGCACTATGCTCAATGACCTCGATAGTGTTTCCCAACGGATAGGTCTTAAGATGAACATGGACAAAACAAAGATCATGTTCAATGTCCATGTCACACCTATGCCGGTAGTTGTTGGGAGCACTAAGCTCGAAGTTGTTGACGAGTATGTTTACCGGGGACAAATAGTCCGACTAGGTAAGTCCAACTTCGATCGAGAGGTCAATCGACGGATTCAACTCGGCTGGGCAGCGTTCGGGAAGCTACGACACATCTTCTCGTCAGACATACCTCAAAACCTGAAAACGAAATTGTACAACCAGTGCGTGTTGCCAGTGATGACTTATGGAACTGAGACGTGGTCCTTCACTGCTGGCCGTATGAGGAAGCTCAAGGTCGCTCAGCGAGCTATGGAGAGGGCTATGCTCGGAGTTTCTCTGCGTGATAAACTTAGGAATGAGGATATCCGCAGTAGAACCAGAGTAACCGACATAGCCCAACGGATTAGTAAGCTGAAGTGGCAGTGGGCCGGCCATATAGCTCGAAGAACCGACAACCGATGGGGAAGAAAGGTTCTCGAGTGGCAGCCTCGTACCGGTAGGCGAAGTGTAGGGCGTCCCCCCACGAGATGGAGTGACGACCTGGTAAGACATGCAGGAAGTCGATGGATGCAGGTGGCTCAGGACCGTGCTTTGTGGCATTCTTTGGGGGAGGCCTATGTTCAGCAGTGGACTTGTGAAGGGCTGTAATGATGATTATATATACATCACCCAAGAGCTCCTGCCACTTCCAGGAACGGGATCTCGGGCAAACAGGGCCTTTTATCTAACACTACCGTGAAGCAGCTGTGCCTGCATTACTGTGTTTTGGTCAAAGGATGTGTAGAGCCAGTATATTTAAAAAAAATTATGGTATTGTGGTATGGTTAATGTAATTATGGTATGGTAATATTATAATATAATTAATTATCACAAGTGACACACATCCATCAGCAAAGTCCATCATTAGATGTCTATGGGCCACAGTATCCACTTACCATCAAGTAAGTGGATGCTGTGGCCCATAGACATCTAAATCTATCCTCAAATAAGAATCAAAATGCAGATGCGTTAGCACCCCTAAGGACTAAGATGGAATGTCTAGTATCCAGTAAAAAGGGTCTCCAGTTCTCTACACTCACTATACGAAACAGAGCATTGAGCTGCTATTCTGTGAGAGCGTGGTCCTTCCCCGGTCAAGCAGACCCATTCGTGCTACAACCATAGTATAGCTGCAGCGTGGCTCAACTACGTATAAAGTCTAGTCCTCATTAAAACACATCTCTAGCCTGTATCCAATTACCTTCAGGTGGATCGTAAGTTTCATTCAATTTTAAATTTAGTCACTTGAATATAATAAAAAATGCTTTATTTCGCTTGATTCGGTTTTTAAGAAAAATTAACACTACCTTAAATCAACCTTGAAGGACCACTATTTTAGTTGATTTTTTGAATTAAATATTAATAGTGATATTATTTTATATTATTATTAGTTTTTCTTCGTCGTAATTTTACAACACAGTGGTTTTTTTTAACTATAGAAACGGGGTGACAAACGAGCACACAGTCCACCTGATGGTAAGTGGTTACTGCGGCCCATAGACATATACGTCTATCCTCTATTACAAATCAAAATGCAGATGCGTTGTCATCCGTGAGAACTAAAATGGAATGCCTCATTTCCAGTAAAAAGGGTCTCCGGTTCTCTACACTCACCATACGAAACACAGAAGCGTTAAGTTGCCATTCTACGCTAGCATTCTGTGAGAGCGTGGTCCTTCCCCGGTCGAGCTCACCCATTCGTGCTACAACTATACTACTAATACAGCTGTAGCATGGCTTTACCACGTAAAAACAATAAAACGTAAATATAAGAAAAACTCATTGCAATAGATAAGTATTACTATTTTATTTTATATAACGTGCTAATCATATATTTTTAAAAGTTTTTGTCACTTAAATTGTGTTTTTTTTTCAGATTTGAAACAAGGACAAACAACGTTAGTTATGTGACGTACATAATGAGGTACCGCGTCGATTTGACGCACTCTCAATGGACTTTGGAGAACTAGTGGTGTGCAACTACAGAATATCGATAGTCGATTGTGAATACAAGATAAATACGAATGAACACCCTGATGCTGACGACTAGTGGTGCGGTGGAAGATCAGCCGTGTGTGGATAGTAACATGTCTTTTTCGTCTTACAAGTAAGTAGATATATTTATTTAATTATTACTAACCAACCAACAAGATATAAGCTTTACAAATTTTTATAAAACACTTAATCTTAGAACGAAACATGCAAACAATCTTTATCTTAATTATAGATAACCATGTCTAGGTAAAAATAACAAGAGGTGGATAACTAAAATACGAAAAAGCTTAAGAAAAAAAAAAAGAAAAAGGAAAATTTTGAGTAAAGGGAACTTAGCAGTTAGATTGGCTCTGATATTTTTATTATTTCTTAATTTTTTGTCTTAAATCACTAATTAGGAACCCTCTCATACATAAAAAGGCCTGTACCCGTAGTGGAACGAATATACGCTGTCAAAGTTTGTAATTTACATTCTTTTGCCTATATTGTTCCATTTTTTGTAAAAGTTTGTCATTTTTTTATTTTACTTGGAACGCTGCTGATTCAACCTGGTAAAACGTAATTAGGATATATGAAATTGAGACAACACATAAGCGTCTTTGTTTTTAATAATACATTATACTGCAAATATGCCAGTAAGCCAGCTTCAAAAAATATCATAACCATAACGTCAAAATGTCAGTGACACGTAGAATAAAGTCATTTAATCGAAACGCACCAAAGAACTTATGGCCAATCGCAAGCAGAATTCAGATGGCGAGATTACTTATACTTGGAAATGGCGGCAAGTTTTCGATGCATCATTAACAGCATTACGCGAATTAATTACTTTCTTTGCTCCAACTGTCGGCTAAATTCTAGACATCGAAATGCGTAGAGTAGGTTATCAGAATTGCTACACATTTTCATCTACTTACAACTTCAAGCTTCATAGTGTGTAATATTTTCTGAAATGGTAATTGAAAAAATATATTGCGATAAAGTAAACTCTTATGTACCTACAGTCTATAAATAGAACCTATTTAAATTACATCTAAGGTTAAGTTTTTTTTTAATTTTGAAATTCTGTTAAATTTTTATTTAAATGCCCTTATATTCATAATCTATAAAGTAAATACAGCAATTACGGAACGCAAAAAGCCGTTGACCAATGAATTCGTCAAGCGGTTACAGTCCTCAATCGGGCACCTTTCATTTAAAAAAAAAGTACCATACGCCATTTCATGTCAATTTTTGAATTATTCATCGTGCGAATGCTCGAGCGCATCGATTGATGCAAGCAAAAAGCACGCATTCGCTAATCTTCGCCCTCCTTCGCCTCTCTTCGGGTTTCCTCGGCTCCCAGTGTTGCTAACCACAGCACTTATTATTCAGCTATTTTTTGCAATCACGCTGAGCAAGGACATAACCGGGAATGCATTTATTTGATAAATGATATTTTTTCCTAAACCATCCATGCTCGATACTTTTTGACATAATTTCTCGCTGTCATTATTAAAAGGTGTCTTTTGTTGGTTATGGCTCGGGCTCATGCACATACTGTTCTTAAAAAAAGAAGTATCGTTGTCAGATTAGTCGTGGCATTCTAATACATCGTTCTAAGAAACAGAGGCAGCTCGTCTGTAATTTTTATAATTCCTAGATTGATTAGATGAGCTTGACTACTGCGTTAAACGTTTATTTTTTGCCTCGTATTTTTTAAGTAATAGATAATGAACAGATCCACGCGCGAAGGTATCTCCTAATGGCCCATTTTATAGTCTTAGCTTTTGTTTTTGCGCTGTTAACTTCTAGCTTAGCAATGTTTATGTCATCGGTAATTAATTAGATTCTAAATTCGTCATCATTGGCCGTCAAGCCAATTACAAGTAACATCATGATGCTTCGGGTGCAGAAAAAATATAGTGTTCGAATTTCCGAGCGTTCATCCCCCGCGCCCGCACGTCCGCCGCGCCTCGGCTCCGCGTCTCGAGTGTACGTGATTGGTTTATTAATTAGGCGAATCATCGTCGGGTTCCATTTTTAAAAATAGGCGGGATTCTTGCGGTGCGATTTTTCTTTTTAATTTTGGCCGGCGTTGAACGTAATTAGAGTTGCCAGTGAACTTTTTGTAATAATTCTGGCTGTGACGATGAAGGTTACTTAAAATTCTGTTTAACATGCCTAATTAACAAGGTAATCGTGAACATTTTTTGATTTATTGAGTGTGCCTAATTACAATTTCATATCAATGCCTAATAAGTGCTGCCGATGTAGTAAAAATATTAAATAAGTCTTCAATGTCAAATATTTTTTGGTACCGTTAATAAGGTTCGTTTTGTACTCTGAGCCACGTGAAGTAAATAAATACTTCAATATTTTTAATAACACTTGCTTTTAACATTAAGCATAGAACGGTTACTGATAAAACATTGCATTTTTAGAACGCGACTGAGTGAGGTCAACGGAAAAATAACATAAAAAGTTTTGCTCAGTCGGCCCTAAAGTTATGTCTCTTGGTGAATACCGTTAGGATGCCTTCCAGGCTCGAAATGAGATAAAAAAGTTGAAAACTATTCCAATTGCCAGTATTTGGAATCCGTTTTGTCTGCCGTACGATTTTTGAGACAATATTTTGCTCCTAACCATCTTAGATTTTAATAATGTTGACAATCGCTTATTAATTGATATTTGACATTTTAACAAAATTTGCAATCATAATCTGCTAATTTATTTTATTAATTTTTAAAATAAATGTTTTTTTTAAATCACAAACAAAATACTTAACTCTTTTTTATTTTTGTTACAAATGTACTTACGTAATAAAATGAACTTTGTTGAATGATCCCTCTTTTTTATCATATAATATTTTATACATTATAACTAATGTATTAACTATACACTACACTGAATGTCTCAATTTTTTTAAATGAACGATATACAGTGTTTGAGTATTGATTCATTTTTAGCGTTTATTGCAATTTATTGCATCATATATTTTGCTATATGGCATGCCATAGTTGCCACGCTCGGCAAGTGTGTTGGTGACCGCATTTTTATATTATTCTGAGTTTGACGATCCTTATGAAAATGCATGTCGATAACTTACATAATTATATTTAATTTCCACCAGAATTAATCAATTAGGGAATAGGTCATATAATAACGCTTAAAATGCTTTCGAGCGATCACAAATGATATTGGTCGCAGTGATATTGCGCTTGTAAGACCAGAATACATCTCAATAGTCTATGGTAGTTCAGGAGTTAAGCACTCGCCGTACACTTCACAGGACGCGAGAAACGCAGTTTCGGTTCCAGTCGGCATTAATGAAATTGATAGTTGCAATTTCCACGCACTCAGTAGTCAAGGAAAGCGATGTGAGAAAGTCTACATGTCCGAGGTACATAATATTTAGAGGACATAATATGAAGTCAGCCATAACGCACTGAAGCAGCGTGGCAGATCGCTTGTTTCAAATTTTTCCTTAGAAACAAGTAACAAAACATTTAACAGTAGGTACGCCCGATGGGTACTGTAGCTTATGAACGCCTAATACTATTATCAAAGAAGGCTGCAGGTACATTGTCACCTTTAAGGACTAAGATGGAATGTCTAACAGCCTAGTACAGACAATACGAGGCTGTTATGTTAGTAATGTTCATACTCTTTCGTTTGGAAGAGTCATACTCTACAGTCATAGTCATACATTACGACTGATTGTTCATACTCTTCCAAACGGAACACAGTCACATACTGTCGCGTTGAAACATTAGTAGGATGTAATATACCTAGAATCAGGCTAGGCTTAAACCTTGATTTTTTCTAGTTTATGTAGAAGCTAACTTCTACCAAACAAAGTATTACCGCAAAATATTCCTTACATACCTGTATTTAATGTACAAATTGCCAGTATAGTACAGTGCCAAAAACACCCATATAATACATTGCGAAAACCTATAATTAATGTACTACAAGCATTATCTGAACGTCAGAACTGATTCTGCACTACGTCTCAATTTCCAAATATGATAAAAACATAGCTTAGAGCTACGCTGGACCGTGTCGGCAGCACGAATGTATCGGCTCCACCGGGGAAGGACCACGATCGCAAATACTACGGTGAAATAGCACCTTAATGCTGCTGCACCTAAATGCTGTGTTATGTATGACAATCTTCGTAAGTGATGAAAACGTGCGACCCCTTGTGCTGGTAATAAGGCATTTCATTTTAGTCCTCAGATGTGACTTTATCGATGATAGATGTAGATTTCTATGGCCCACAGCATTCACTTACTGTTAGGTGGACTGTGTAATCGTTTGTCACGCTAACTTTAATTAAAATATACATTGCTAAATGTAAAAAACACACATTTTTTAGACTACCTAAGTTTAAACATAACGGTAAATTATCAGCTTTTCTATATTACTCTTTGCGAATGTTATTTGAATTCTATCTACTCCATAATCGAAACGAAGCTTGAAGTTTCGTACGCATCTATAAACACGATAGCGAACAGAAACCATTTCAACGTCCCGACAAGTCGACTGACCGCCACTAAGTAAGACCGGGACATAAATTCTTCAACGGGCTAAACAAAAATAAAAAATCCGAAAACCCCTTTAAGAGGGCTACCGAACTATAATTTATGGGAGTTGGTCCACCGACGGCCATCTCTGCAAACAAAATAAAAAAAAAAGCATTTAAAATAAAAGATTTCTGAACGGAGACGCAAAATGGTGAAATTGGGAATAATTTTGCGATAGCATCGCGCTCGGACGGTACCTTTCAATTTCTTTATATGTTTGCAAATTCGGATTTTTTGTTTCGTCGCAAAGGGAGTTATGGTCGAGACGGGCAGTGGCCAGCACGAACTCCGGGATGAAATAAAGTATTAAGTTGTATTTTGGTTTTTGTATAGAGCGCCTATATTATTTATTTTCAATTATTGTATTTTGTTATTAAAAACAAAGATATCACTGCACTGAAAGAGAAAGTTAAAACTTTCTCTTTCAGTGCATTGCAAAGGTATTAAACATAAGTTTTAGTAATATTTTTAACGCTCTGTTAACAGTTCTTTATTGGACATTTCATTCATTCATTACAACCCTTCACAAGTCCACTGCTGAACA